TTATTTCTAGGAGAGAGAGAGAGACAGCGTGAGCAGGGGAGGGTCAGAGAGAGAGGGAGTCACAGACTGAAGCAGGCTCCAGGCTCTGAGCTGGCAGTCAGCACAGAGCCCGACGCGGGGCTCGAACCCACGAACCACGAGATCATGACCTAAGCGAAAGTCGGCTTAACCAACTAAGCCACCCAGGTGCCCCATTTTTGTCGTTTTTAAAAAAAATTTAAGAGTGAGAGCAGGGGAGGGATAGAGAGAGGCAGGAAGAGAAAGAATCTCAAGCGGGCTCCCCGCTGTCAGTGCAGAGCCCGATGTGGGTCTTGGCTGCACAAACCATGAGATCATGACCTGAGCCGAGATCATGAGTATGATGCTTAATTGACTGAGCCACTCAGGTGCCCTTATATTTTCTTATTTTTTTAAATACTCTTCATTTTTAAAAAACGGTTGCATAGTATTCTATAATCTATTTTTACTTTGTAGTTATCTGTACTAATATACAATGTTGTGATGAACATTCCTTTCATAAAATCTTCACTCCTATGTGACTGGGGCTTATGTGTAAATAAATATGACCTTCACCAGACCCCCCCCCCACCCCCCGAAATCTGTGACCTCTGAGTATCCTATTAGGGTATCTCTGTGACCATGACCTCTTTTCGTAAGGATGGGAGTAAGAATTTTATAAAATGCGTTCATCATGGTGTTTTATATCAGTATAGTTAATTATAGTTAATTATAGAGTAGAAGTAGTCACGTGATAGAATATTTTGCAGCCGTTAAGAGTATTTAAAGAGGGGGCACCTGGGTGGCTTAGTCGGTTAAGCGTCCGACTTTCGCTTAGGTCATGATCTCGCGGTTCGTGGGTTCGAGCCCCGCGTCGGGCTCTGTGCTGACTGCCAGCTCAGAGCCTGGAGCCTGTTTCAGATACTGTATCTCCCTCTCTCTCTGACCCTCCCCTGCTCACACTGTCTCTCTCTCTCCTAGAAATAAATAAAAATATTAAAAGAAAAAAAAAAAGAGTATTTAAAGAAACAGGAAATACATTTTTATTTTTAAGTAATCTCTACCCCCATCATGGGTCTCTAACTCACAGTCCTGAGATCAAGAGCTGCATGTTCTGCTGACTGAGCCAGCCAGGCAATGTGTTGTGCTTTTTTAAAGGGGGAATTACTGAACAGAATATATAGTGTTATCGCATTAAATTTGTCTTTTTATATTTCTGTCCGTTCAGGAAAATATTGGTAATATAGATACTATTATGTTAGTGTTATATCTCTAGTTGGAGTTGTGGGTGATTTTTATTGTTTTCATATTTTTCTTGTACTTCTCAGATTTTTTACATTGATGCTGTCGCTTAAAACCAGAAAAAAAGCCTTATGGAAAAAAAACTGTGCTTCATTTCCTCCTGAACAGATCTGTAGTTTTTCTGAGCTCAGGTGAAAACTTGAATCTTGAAGGGACTCAAGCTCCCCTCACTGCTTTGCTGCTGCCTTTCTCTGCAGGTAAAACTGCTGCTTTTGCCCTGCCTGTCTTGGAGCGTCTGATCTACAAACCCCGCCAGGCACCCGTCACCCGCGTGCTCGTGCTGGTTCCCACCCGAGAGCTGGGCATCCAGGTGCACTCCGTCACCAAGCAGCTGGCTCAGTTCTGCAACATCACCGTCTGCCTGGCTGTGGGTGAGTGTCTGGCTGTCACTGACTGTGACGTGGTGGCAGGTGGGGGTGCCCCACCACCTGAGGGTGATGGGTGCCAGGGAAGCCTTCCTACGATTAAACCCACCCAAAAAGCAGATGAGGTGTTGTCAAAGCAGGTAGTGGGGAGAGGGGAGAGGGCTTAACTGAGATCTCACCAGCCTTGGAAAAAGGAAACTTCCAAGATTTGAGGCAAAAAAGTTTTCTTGGTATTAAATAAATTTAGGATGTAATTTTTGCTTTGTATGAATAAAGAACCAAATATTTGGGGCTGAGTCTTTGTGATCATGCTATGTGATAACTGTTCCCTAACCTTCATGTCCCCCTCCCCGTGCAGGGGGAAGTCGGAGGTAACGTAGAAGACATTAGTTTTCACAGCAGCTGCTTCTGTCAGTCCGTGGGTGTTCCAGTCCACCTGTTCTGAAGTGCCTTTGTCTCACCCGTCTTTTTTCACACTTAGCACAGTTGTAATGAAATGGCCTGTCTCTCCCAGTGTCTTGTAAAATCCACACGAGCAGGACCTTCGCCAGTCCTGTCCTCTGCGGTTTCCTCCGCAGCTGGGGTGAGACGCGGCAGGTGGTAGGGCCCCGTCAATACTGACGAACCACTGACCGAATTGGCCACCTGGGGGGGGCGCTCTTCTTTGCAGGAGGCCTGGATGTGAAGTCTCAGGAGGCGGCTCTCAGGGCAGCGCCGGACATCCTCATCGCCACCCCAGGCCGGCTCATCGATCACCTCCACAACTGTCCTTCCTTCCACCTGAGCAGTATCGAGGTGCTCATCTTGGATGAGGCTGACAGGTACGCCTGAAGCGGTGGGGCCCCAGCTGCTCGGGGCCGTGGCCACTGCGTTACCCCGCGTGGGTCTTGACATAGCCCTGTGTGGTGCCGGTTCAGCTCCTCACATTTTGACCTCTGTTCATCATTAGCCTGGATTATGTTGCTTTTTTTTTTTTCTCTCTCTCTGTAATGTGATGGTGAAGAGGGAGGGTAGATCAGATCCTGGCTTTGCCCCTTCCTGAGATTTGGAAACGTAAGTGAGGGATAAGAATAAATACCCACCAAGGGGCGCCTGGGTGGCTCAGTCGGCTGAGCGTTTGACTCTGGCTCAGGTCGTGATCTTGCAGTTTGTGAGTTTGAGCCCTGCGTCGGGCTCTGTGGTGACAGTTCAAAGCCTGGAGCCTGTTTCTGATTCTGTGTCTCCTTCTCTCTTGTGCCTCCCTCACTCATGCTTGGTTTTTCTCTTTCTCTCAAAAATTATTAAAAACATTAAAAAACATTTTAAGAATAATACCCTCCTTATGGTGAGGATTCAAGGAGTAATACAGGTGAAGTGGCAGCGCACGGTGAGGAGTCAACAGTCTCTGTTACTGTGATAGGGGACTTCCCCCCCTTTCCTCCCTCATCTCTCTCTCTTCTCCCTCCCTCTTTCCCTTTCTCCTGTACAGGTCCCTTCTGCTTACCTCTTTCCTTCACGACCAAACGGAATGAACCTCAATGAACTGGACTAATGATCGAGGTGGAGGGAGGGGAAGGAAGCCACAAATAACCCCAAAGCCTGTTCAGGTTTCCTCTCCAGTTGAAGCGTCTCCAAACTAAACAGGTCCTGAACTGAGCTCTGACCCCGTACGCCCCTTCTCTCTTCCCATCTCAGTGCTTAGCAGCCGTGTCTTCCAGTTGTCCTGGGCAGAATTCTTCGCATCATTCTGTGTCCTCCTCTTCCACCCACAAAGCAGCCATCAGGAAGTCCTGTCAGCCCATGTAGGGGCTTCTGCACTTGCTGTCCCCTCAGCTCGGACTGACCTTTGCCGCCTCAGGTTTCTGTTCCAGCTGTCTCTTACCAAAGAGCCTTCGCTGGCCCCGGTAACACTTCCTGCATTCCATGCTCTGAGGCGCTGTGCCTCTCCCACCTCCTACATTGTCACCTGAGTGCTAGTGTGGTGTTTGTGTCCCTCCTCTCCCCTGGAACATATTTGTAAAGAGCTTGTTGCTCTACGTCCAGGATTGTGTCTGGTATCTAATAGATGCTTGGTGTTTACTGAATAATGGATTAATTCCCCCTGAGCAAATGAACCATTCTTGAGTCCTGAGGGAGGTAAAGGAGCTCTTTCTAAGCAAAGGGAACATGATCTGATTTAGGTTTTGAAGGGGAAGGGAATTGTATTAAAAAGTGTTAATATCTAGGGACGCTTGGGTGGCTCAGTCAGTTAAAAGGGTCTGAGTCTTGATTTTGGCTCAGGTCATGATACTGCAATGCAGTTCGTGAATTTGAGTGAGCCTTGCAGCAGGCTCTGTGCTGACAGGGCAGTGCCTGCTTGGGATTCTCTCTCTGCCCCTCCCGTGCTCTCATGCATACTCGCACTCTCTGTGTCTCTCTCTCAATAAAGATTAAAAAAATTTTTTTAATGTTAACGTCTCAAAAGACCAAGAAAGCCTGTGGAAGGTTCATATTAAGGTGGTCAAGGAGCAGGACAGCTAAATGTACCTGGTCCTTGACTGGAGCCTGAGTTGGAGGGAGAAATACTATAAAGGATTTGGTCAGTTGGACAGATGGGAGTTAATGTAATCCTACTACTGATTAATATCATCTACAAGGAGAAAAAGGTTCCTTTACAGTGAAGAGAACTGGTAGGTCCCACCTTTATCATGTATCAAAGTCACGTCGGTGACTGTGTGTGTCTCCGGATGGAGAGGGAAGTCCACAGCCGCACCCCTGCACATTCTCTCAGCAATGAGTTACTGAATCAGGTCACTGGAAAATAATCAGACAAAGACAGAATGTGAAAAAGCTTGAGGAGACTTTTCTAGATGAAGGGAGACCAAAGAAACATGACAGCCAATGCAATGTAGGAACTTTGGTTCCTGGACTAAAAACATAAAAAGACAGCTATAAAGTGACATTTTGGGGACAGTTAGGGATATTTTAATGTGGACTGTAGTTGAGATATTATTCAAACATTTAAATGTTTTGGGTGTGATAATGACATCATGATTATGTAGGAGAATGTACTCTCTTAGGGATTATGCACTGAGATAGTTAGGATTAAGGTGTTGTGATGTCTACAACTTATAGTTTTGCAAAAAAACCAAAAAAAAACAAAAAAACTGATAAAGCAAACATGGCCAAATGATAGTTCTTAGTGAATCCTGATGAACCGGTAAACTATTAATACTAATATGTAAGTAAATAAACGAGCCTGCAACGTAACCAGTTACATCATCACTGCAACAGCTATAAGCTCAGTCCATTTCTCTTGATTCCTTCCCTCTGCTCATCAGGATGCTGGATGAGTACTTTGAGGAACAGATGAAGGAGATCATCCGGATGTGTTCCCACCACCGCCAGACGATGCTCTTCTCAGCCACAATGACGGACGAGGTGGGCCTCAGGAATTCTGCTTGGTGGGGTGAATGGAGGGGTGCAGAGGACCCTGGCTGGGCCGCAGGGGGTGGCCTGGGGCAAGCATGGCTTGCCTCCACTGCCCCCTCCCCTCCCCACCTCCCCGCCTCCTGGCAGGCCAGTGAGCATCTCTGTCTTGGTGCTGGGCAGGTAAAAGATCTGGCTTCTGTCTCCTTGAAGAATCCTGTCCGCATATTTGTGAACAGCAACACGGATGTGGCCCCCTTCCTGCGGCAGGAGTTTATCCGGATCCGACCCAATCGGGAAGGGGACCGGGAAGCCATCGTGGCAGGTGAAAGCCCAGGGCGCTGGAGTCCCTTGGCTTTGTGGGTAGCACGCTCTAGGGGTTGGGTGTTTCCTTGCACCTCCTCTGTCAGGCTCCCCTGACCCACTGCATGGTACTTCTATTTATGTGCTTTGCCACTTGGGCCACAGGTCCTTCCTCCCTTTTTTCTGTCACCTCACCTCTTTCCTGGTATCCAGTCCTCCTTCGGTCCCGCCGAACACACAGCTACTTCCCTCACAACCACCCCTCTGGCCCTTGGTTCGAGGTACTGCCTCCCTTGCCTGAATTGTTGGAATGGCCTTGTACTTGGCTCCTACTTCTGCTCTTGTCCTTTGGTAACCTATTCTCCACAGTGCTGAGCATTTAAAGTGACCGTTTACAGGCAAACATTTGCTTATGTTACCTCCCTATTTATAAGCCTCTGGTGTCTCTCCATCTTTCTTAGACCACAATCCACACTCCCCGGCGAGTACTATATGGCCCTCTGGGACCCGGCCCCTGCCTGCCTGGAGTCCTCGGCCTTGATACCTGTGCTCATGATGCCCAGCCACACTCCTCCTTTTGTTCAAACCTAGCTTGTCTGGCCTCAGGGCCTTTACATTTGCTCTTTCCTCTGCCTGAAATCTTCCCCCAAATCTTGTGCTTTGTCATTCAGCCTGATATCACCTCTTTAGAGAGGGCAGCCCTAAAGCTGCCTCCCCGTCTTGCCTTCACTCTCACAGCATTTATCACACTTGGGAGTTGGCCCTGGAATGTGAGCCTCACAAGGCAGGGATTACCTGTCTCCCCCAGTGCCAGGCACAGCAGCCACATCACAGGTGAGGGCGGGGGAATAGGTATCGGAGGTGGCTTCCAGCTCACTCTTCTCTCCTCTCCAGCTCTGCTGACAAGAACCTTCACTGACCACGTGATGCTGTTCACCCAGACCAAGAAGCAGGCCCACCGCATGCACATCCTCCTGGGGCTCATGGGGCTGCAGGTGGGCGAGCTCCATGGCAACCTGTCACAGACGCAGCGGCTGGAGGCCCTCCGGTAAACTTTGCGGGGCTGAGGCTACCACCCGTTCTTCAGAGAGGACTCCTCATTGGAAAGAGGGAAAATCCCACCCAGAGCTTACATTGGCAGGGGATGCAGACAGTACAGCTCCCCGCCTCAAAGATTATATAGTCTAACTGCTGTAAGGTTCTGTCTTAGATCATTCAGGACTCGTAGTCTCGCCAAAGATGACACTTGTGCCCTGGGATTGAGTGGCAGTTGCTGAGGGGGCCACGGCAGGAAATTTTGACTTGGGAAGACATAGCACGTGTCTTGTTCTCCTATCCAAGTACTAACCAGGCCCGACCCCGCTTAGCTTCCGAGATCAGACGAGATCGGGCGCGTTCAGGGTGGTATGGCCGTAGACAACATGTCTTGTTTTCTATAGGTTTTCCAGAGCAGTGGGCATACCTGGTCTGATAGAATGAGATTTGGAATCAAAGCCAGCTACCATTTCCTCATCATTTACTTTGCTGTGCCCTCTGTTTTCTTGCTTAATTCTCATAGAATGGAGTCATGTTGATAGGCAAGGAGGAACCCTCTAGAATTCTCCACCTATCCCCATAGATCATAGGCAGCTGAAAGTTACTTTTTTAGGCCATTTTGAATGCTGAGGACATTTGCATATTGCTACTTCCTATAGTCTAGCTCTGTGGTTCCTGACTTTCGTGTTTGTAGAGTTGGGGCTTAAGGTGGTATAAACAAAACTACGTTTGTTCTGTGTTACAGGAAGTTTAAGGTGTTGTGTGAAGTATTAGACGGTCTGATGTTCAGGATCTTGTTTACATCATCACTCTGACTGTATACTCTGCTGCTGGACTCCAAAGGGATTTGTGTTCTCTCTGCTGGCTCAGGCTCCTGCAAGCAGTTTTGGGCTTAAGTATCCAAGTGAACATCTGTTTGTGGCTATTTTCCAGGCGCTTTAAGGACGAACAGATTGACATCCTTGTGGCCACAGATGTGGCAGCCCGTGGACTTGACATCGAGGGGGTCAAAACGGTGAGCAGCGCCTATCTTCCTGGAACTCTTGGTGGGAGTCTTTTTTGCCTCCTTGTTTGTGTCTCCTTTCCCTCCAACTCGCAGTTCTGGCTTTGACCTTCCAGGTAATCAACTTCACGATGCCCAACACCATCAAGCATTACGTCCACCGAGTAGGGCGAACGGCGCGGGCAGGCAGGGCTGGGCGCTCAGTGTCTCTGGTGGGAGAAGAGGAGCGGAAGATGCTGAAGGAGATCGTAAAAGCCGCCAAAGCCCCTGTAAAGGCCCGGATACTTCCCCAAGGTGAGCAGGCACCACTCCAGCAGCTCAGGGTAGTTAGGGTGGGCAGGGTGGGGTCCTCGGTCAGACTCTGTGGGACAGAGCTGGGGGCAGAGGGTAATAAGTGAGAGCACGTGTCTTGCAGTCAGGAGTCAGATTTGAATCCCAGTCCTGCCCCTTCCTTCCTGAGTGACCCTGGGCTGGTCTCACCGTGCCTGTCTGGGCTTTAGTCTCTTTCTGTGTGAAAGGGAATAATGACGTGTGCTCTGAGTGACTCACTCTTAGGTTATTTTCCATCCTTTGGGAAGAGAAGGCTTCGTCTTGGGGTAAAATCCCTATTAATTGTCCTCTTTCCTTTCACTGGGATCAGAGGTCAGCACTTCTGTGTTTTAGATGTCTTTCATGCCTTTCCTTTTTATCTGTAGAGGTCATTAAAGCACAATCTTTCAAAAAATTATTTTTTAAAGTTATAAGAATAGTCGATGTTCAGTATTAGGAAATAGTAAATAAGAGCCAAAACGTAATTGGTGTGGAAGAGCTCACCACTGTTAGCGTTTGGGCACACGTCCTTTGAGACATTTATTCCATTCATGGATGTCTTTTTCATCTTGTTTTCATTTTCACGTCATTCATTCTGTCTGCTAAATTTCCTGAGTACCACCACGTGCCTCGTGCTGTTTATTCTATCCAGGTATGAGGGATGTAGCCCAAAACAAAACAGCTGAGACTCTGGTGGAAAAAAGACAATAAATAATAATAGACGTGATCCAGCATGACAGGAGGAGAGATGCAACTTTCAAAGATGTTTAGGAAAGGACTCTGAACAGATGGCATTTGAACTGAGTCCTGAGTGATGAGAATGAGGCAGTCGTGAATGATCTGGAGACAGGGTGTGGCCAGCAGAGAAAACCAGGGCAAAGCCTCTGAGGCAGGAGCAGGCCTGGCGTGCAAGTTAAAGTGAAGGAAGAGCCAGAAGGCCAAGGACACAGTGAGCAAGGTGGAGATAGGAGCTCAGGGAGGTAGGCAGGGACCACACTTAGGAGTTTGGAATATATTCCAAGAGCAACAGGCTCTTTGGGGGTGGGTGGTGTTAAGTAGAGAGTCACATGTAAAAAAAAAAAAAAAACAAAAACCCTAATTTTCTTTTGTCGCTAAATACACATCTCTATTATTTTCATCAGTTACAAACTGTTTATCCTTAGTTAAAAATTTTTTTGCTCCCTTCCCTTGAGATGTCATCCTCAAGTTCCGGGATAAGATTGAGAAAATGGAGAAGGATGTGTATGCGGTTCTGCAGCTTGAGGCTGAGGAGAAAGAGATGCAACAGTCGGAAGCCCAGGTGTGTGTGTGTGTGTGTGTGTGTTGGGGGGGGTTGGTCCGCAGTGCTGTGTGTGTGTGTGTGTGTGTTGGTGGGGGGTTGGTCCGCAGTGCTGTGCAGAAAGCCGACTGTAGCAGCCCCTGCTGGTCTTGTCCTTCCAAAACGCTGTGTCAGCCAAACATTATCAGAGCCCCACACATAACATGGCTTCCTGCAGCTGCCATGTTATGTATCACCAGACGTCGGTTTCATGGCAGCCACCTTTTTGCTGCTTCCACAGATCAACACAGCAAAACGGCTGCTGGAGAAGGGAAAAGAGGCACTGAACCACGAGCCTGAGAGAAGTTGGTTCCAGACCAAGGAAGAGAGGAAGAAGGAAAAAAGTATGTTGGAGAGGTCCCTCAAAAAGCTAACCAAAGAATTATCCTGGAACCTAGCAATGCCATTGCTAGGTCAATTCCCAGAAGAACTGAGAACAGGGACTCAGATGGATATTTGTATTCCCGGGTTCATTAAAGCATTATTCACAAGAGCCAAGGGGTAGAAACAGCCTGTGTCTGTCAGCAGATGAACAGATACACAAAACAATAGTACATGGTACAGCCAGTAATGAAGTTGATAATGAAGTTGATGCATGTTGCAAGGGTGAACCTTGAATAGGTGCTACGTGAAATGAACCAGATGCAGAAGGACAGATATCTATGATTCTGCTTCTATGAAGTACCTAGAGAGGCAAATCCATAAATGCAGAAAGTAGAACAGAGATTACCAGAGGGTAAGGGAGTTATTAATGGTTACAGAACTTCACAGAAACATCATGGTGATGATTGTCCAACACTGTGAATGTAATTAATGTGAGTGAATTGTAGACATAAGAATGGATAAAAGGGCAAATTTTTCTTGTATCCTTTTTGCCACAATTAAAAAAAAGTAGGTCAGGAAGATACTTATATGTATTCCTTACACTCCCCTCTTTTTATCATACAAATGAATTCAGATTTTTTTACACCTAGCTTTTTCTTTTTCTTCCTTCCTTCCTTCCTTCCTTCCTTCTTTCTTTCTTTTCTTTCTTTTTTTGAATTTATTTATTTTGAGAAGAGAGAGAGTGGGAGAGGGGCAGGGACAAAACGAACCCAAGAAGGCTTCGTGCTGTCAGCACAGAGCCTGACACAGGGCTCAAACCCACGAACTATGAAATCATGACCGGAACCGAAACCAAGAGTCAGACACTTAACCAACTCACACTTAACCACCCAGGTGCCCCATACACCTTGCTTTTTCCACTTAATTTTATACAGGTACATACCTACCTGCCTTTTTTTTTTTTTTAATAGTGTATTGTCAAGTTGGTTTCCATATAACACCCATTGCTCATCCCCACAAGTGCCCTCCTCCATGCCCATCACCCCCCCCTCCCCCCCCATCAGTCCTCAGTTTGTTCTTGGCATTCAAGAGTCTCTCATGGTTTGCCTCCCTCCCTCTCCCCCACAGTTTTTCCCCTTCTCACCCATGGTCCTTGGTTAAGTTCCTCCTAATCNTTTATTTATTTTGAGAAGAGAGAGAGTGGGAGAGGGGCAGGGACAAAACGAGCAACTTTACAGCTTTCCCAATTCCATTTTGTTGAAAAGACCATCTTTTTCCCATATAACACCCATTCCTCATCCCCACAAGTGCCCTCCTCCATGCCCATCCCCCCCCCCTCCCCCCCCATCAGTCCTCAGTTTGTTCTTGGCATTCAAGAGTCTCTCATGGTTTGCCTCCCTCCCTCTCCCCCACAGTTTTTCCCCTTCTCACCCATGGTCCTTGGTTAAGTTCCTCCTAATCTTCTACTTGCAGACATGATATCTGCGTCCTCTGCCTGACTGATTTCGCTCAGCATAACACCCTCAAGTACCATCCACGTTGCTGCCTTTTTTTAAAATGGCTGCATGTGTTCCATCACGTGGGTAGATAATTTAATTAGTCCCCTGACGAGGGACACTGAAGTTGTTTATCATCTCGCTATTGTAAACATGTAGTGAATAACTGTACAAGTGCCTTTTCACAATTAAGCAAGTATATTTGATTTAAATATACTTGCAGGTTAAATCCCTGAAAGTGAAATTGTACGTCAGAGAGTATGTGTAGTTATTATTTTATTAGGGATTGCAAAATTATCCTCCCAAGAGGTTGTACCGGCAATTTAAGAAATATTGCCTATATCTGATGGGACAAAAAATTAGAGTGCATATACATTAAGTTTCTGTGTTATAAGTAGTTATATTGTGGGAAGGTCTGGGAGTATAAATGAACAAATCATCTTTCATAACAGGAGGTAGATCATTAATGTCTCAAGTGGGTTGAGGAATAGTGCAATAAGCATATGGTTACCACCTGGTGGAGGTAACCACCAGGACAGGACACTATTTGCTGCTTTTTTTGTCGCTGCTGCTGCTTCTCATTTTGAACTCTTATGTAACAATTTAAAACATGTGCACTTCTTTAAAAAAATATATAAAATGGTACCTGAAACTTCACGTTCTCTCCTCATCCTAGTTGCCAAGGCTCTGCAGGAGTTTGACTTGGCCTTAAGAGGAAAGAAGAAGAGGAAGAAATTTATGAAGGATGCCAAGAAAAAGGGAGAGATGACAGTGAGTGGCTTTCCCTTTGGAGTTGGGTCCTCGCCCAGTGACATGTGTCAGGGCTTCCTGGCCTGTTCCATGCTCACATCATCCTTCTTTCCAGGCAGAAGAAAGGTCCCAATTTGAAATTCTCAAGGCACAGATGTTTGCTGAGCGGCTGGCCAAGAGGAATCGCAGAGCCAAGAGGGCCAGAGCGATGCCAGAGGAGGAGCCAGCAAGGGTCCCTGGTAGGCAGATGGGACTGCCCGGTAGGCAGGCTTCTCCCTGAAACTTGTACTTGTGGTCAGGGAGGAAATTGGAGGGATGGTAAGAGAGCCTATAGTTTTTGAGCAGTCAGCATGTACCAGTGTGTACAGCTATCTTTTTGGGGTTCCCAAGTGGAGAAGTGACCCCATGGTTAGTGGGGACAGCTAGGATTTGAACCCAGGCATTTCTGACTCTGGAGCTTATGTCCTTACGAACTGCTACTTGGAGGAGTGGGTCAGGGTAGAAAGAAGTGAAATCAGTCTTCAGCCCATTTCACATTTTGGTGGTTTTTACTTTGGGACTCTGCAGTCGTCCTTTGGAGCGGTTCTTCAGATGTGACACTTGTGAATTCCTCATCCCTTTTCTGTTGGGATCTGATGTCTTGTTTCCATGTCAGTAAATCACCAGACCAGAGCATTCACTGAATTTGGAACCATTACCCTAAGGATTATGGATTGGATTTGGGAGCTTGGGCCAGAGAGGACTTCTGTAACCCATTCTTTCTCTGCACAGCCAAGAAACAAAAGCAGGTGAAGAAATCTGTATTTGATGAAGAACTTACCAACACAAGCAAGAAGGCCCTGAAACAGTATCGAGCTGGGTAGGGTTTTAAATCTTCTTGGGGTCCTTCATATTATGATTAAGGCTATACACCTTCTTCCTCCTTCCGTGCTCCCCAATTCCCCTATACCTGTAGCTTTATTATTAATTTTAAGGGCTCCTGTCTGACACCTTCCCCCCTCCACAGCCTATCTTTGGATCCCAGAGTGAGAACAGGAGGAAAGAATTAAGGCCCTCCTGCCTTGGAGGAGAAATAGCACATTTCTGGTTCAGAAATAGAATAGCAGAGGATCCCGGTTTGCTCTTAGGAATGTGTTATTCACACCCCCACCCCACATCCTCTGGGCTGGGGATAGGGTGGGGATAGATAGATTAAGTTTCCCAAGTTGTTTTGTTATTTGTTTGTTATAAGACTTAATTTTTTTTTTTTTTAATTAATTTTGAGAGAGAGACAGAGTGAGCAAGGGAGGGGCAGAGAGGGAAAGAGAGAATCTCAAGCAGGCTCTGCACTGTCAGTGTGAAGCCCGACGCAGGGCTCAAACTCATGAACTGTGAGATCGTGACCTGAGCCAAAACCAAGAGTTAGTTGGACACTTAACCTACAGAGCCACCCAGGTGCTCCGGTTTTGTTTTTTAAATGTTTTAACTTTTTAAAAGTGTTTATTAATTTTTGAGAGACAGAGTGCAGGAGTGTGAGCAGGGGAGGGGCGGGGGGGGGGAATCCAAACAGCTGTCAGCAGAGCCTGATGCAGGGCTTGAACCCACAAACTGTGAGATCATGACCTGAGCTGAAGTTGGAGGTTTAACCAACTGAGCCCCCCAGGCACCCCAAGTAGTTTTATATGCATGAGAAGGGAGTCTTTATTTTGAAGCTTGGCCTTCACTTCCATATAGTCCCATATCATCAGGTGGAAATGCCAGGTGCAGAGCCTTAGGCTCTGAAAACGATGCATCAGTGATGCTGCTGCTTCATGTGGGAGCTGGGGGTGGGGGTGTGACATCATCTGTCTTTCCAGCTGCCATTTCAGCATCTTCCCTTCTTATCCATAGCCCCTCCTTTGAAGAAAGGAAACAGTTGGGCTTGCACCACCAGAGACGGGGAGGAAACTTTAAATCTAAATCCAGGTAATATTTGCAGTTTTGGAGGGCTGGAGGTTATGAATGTTTGGGGTTGAAGAAGAATCCTTTCATGGGAAGGCTCCACCTTCTTTCTGGCTTGGGGGTTGGTCTTCACTCTGCTAATTTTCTTCACAGGTACAAGAGGAAGTAGCTGTGGTGGCCTGAAGGTCGTGGGGCAGCCCTCACATACTTCCTTATGGGAAGTCCTCATCCTCACTTGGACTCTTCTCCATTTGTAAAAAAAAAATTTTTTAATTTAGTCCATGTTATTTGTATATTTAAAAAAGAAAAAAAGGTTGTTTGCGGTGGTGATATGTAGAGCTATTTCCTAAGCATCCTTGTGAGTCAGCCAAGGCTCACTTCTTGCTATTGACGTTCACATAAAGAAGATACCAGATTTGGGCGGGGGGGGGGGGGGGGTGTACCTAGCTGGCTCAATTGAAGGAGCATATGACTCTTAATCTCGGGGTTGGGAGTTTGAGCCCTGTGTCGGGTACAGAGATTACTTAAACCTAAAATTACACATTAAAAAAAATATATATATATATATACACACACACACACCCCACCCCCAAATGGAAGAAGTAATTTTGGGAGAGAATAAACTGAATTGTAGATTTTATCCCTGCTCTTAACGTCAATATAGTCTACCCTGTATACTTCCTGTCCATCTTTTATGTTTATAGAGGAGCTGGATATGGAGGAAACTCTTGCTAGAAGTTCTCTTGATGTGTCCTGAGACCTAAACGCTATCATTTACTGACCATCAGCCATGTACCAGACATTCTGTATACTGAGCATGGTCTCATTAAATTCACTACACCCTGTGGGCAAGGTAGTTATCCCCATTTTGCAGATAAACTTTCCAGAGTTACACTGTTGGGAATCCAGGTTTTTGAAACCAGGGTCTACCTGAACCCATACTCTGGACTGTGCTGTAGAAGTGCTACTGGAGAGATGGAAGCTCAAAGGGGACAGAAGGGTTCAATTAGTTCTTTGTTGTAAACACCAGCTTTTACCCTGTAGAACAGAGGTTCTCCTTTCTCAATCCTAGGTTCCTTTGATAATGAAAGCAAGGGGATATATATATGAGAAAATATGTTTGTAGTCTGTCCTATATAATTTCAAGGAGTACATACACCTCCCCCACGACCAGCTCAAAAATTTTAAGTTACCAGTAGCACATAAACTTGACATTAAGAGTGTGTTCAAAGCTATTCACTTAGGCTGCACCTAACAGTCACCTGCAGAGGTTTCCATTTCAGTAAATAGTGGCCCACCTGCATGGTGGAGTAGGATTCAGGCACCTCGTGTATATGCTTAAAGGTCCCCAAGCTCGTTGGGTTGAAAAAGCCAAGTGCAGAACTTTGTACTTTTTTTGAGTTCTATACATTGCCTGTGCATAGCTTACCTCTGGAAGGACTCATGAAGCTGTTAACAGGATTGCCTCTGGGGAAGGAAACTTCAAGTTATACTTTTATACGAAACAAAAGATTCTTTTTACCATGAGTAAAGAGGACTCACCAGCTAAATAAAAACTCCATACCACAGAAACCAGACTGGTCTCCCTGTAGGCAGTGGCTCCATCCCCATCCTCACGGTCTCAGGCTGCCTGAGCTGTTTCTAAAAGTTGACAAACATGGACCACTGATTTTCTCAATCATCGTTTTTATTAATTGGCTTTATAGGCTAAAGTGCATAGTAAAGACAAAAAAGGAAATGCATACATAGGAAAAGGACATTTTTCTCACCAACATTAGAAAGACCTGAGATGCCTAAGTGTCTGTCCTAGGAACACTGGACTGAGGGAATATGTATGCAGGCAGCAGCAGGCCTAGGGACTGGCTTCTGGCATGGGTCTGGAGCCTGCAGAAGCTGCTGGCATGCTAACCCTGCCCAGGCAAAAGCTAATAGTGTTGGGACAAAAGGTCACACTTTGGATCGGTGCTGCTGGTTTAGTTCCATCCAGGGCCTTGGGGGACCAGCACTGCTACTGAACTCCTCCTGCGGGCAAAGAAACCACCACCCCAAAGTGCCGGTCACAGGAGAGGGTATGGGGATCACTCCTTAGTCAGCCTGGGCCTGCTGCACAGCCCCCAGCTGTGGGTAGTCAACACTTTTCCCACTCTCAGTGAATATGTAACTGGGTCAGGGTTAGTCACTGAAGTCTGTGTCTTATCACATGCCTCGTCTCCTGGAGTGAGGATGCCCCAGGAGGAGGGTGGGAGGGACTTTTGTGCTCCTTGAAAGGATAAGCAGGTTATAAACAACTCCTCTGGGCCTCTGTTTATTGGAATTGAAGTTAGTCTACAAGTTAGGGCCTGGCTATTAGAATGAGTCTGCTTCACTTGAGTTCATACTCTGCCCCCGGAGCACTGCAGAAAAAATATCTGAGTCAGGACCCAGAGATACCATTAGGTAGCTCTAGGTGGAAGCCCCAAACATGCTCCAGGGAGCCTGTCCACTAACTTGCAAGAGAAAAAAAGGTGTCTGTTAACTTTGCTCTCAGTTCTGGAGGTAAAGTGCTTATTCTAGCGCAGGGGAAATCTAGAAACAAATGTGGGCAATCCCTAAAAGTGGATCCTTAAATAGGCGCTAAGACTAAAGGACAATAATAAAAACAAACTTCGGTTCCTTCATAAGGGAGCCGATCCCAGCCAGATGGTGGCCAGGCACAAGGCAGCGGTGCGCCATCTTCCTACATCATCCTCCGGATCTCCTCAAAGTTCATCAGGTTGTTGGCCGTGTCAGACCAGGCAGGGTGCTGGGCTCCATCCATCTCAGAAGCAAGCTGATTGCTCCTTTCCAGAGTATGATTTATGCCCCCGATCACCTCCTTGCAGTCAGGACATGTGCCCCTCTGCATGGCTCCTCCGCAATCGCTTATCACGTAGATGTGGCCATTGGGGCACTTGAACCAGTGGCCACGAGGATAACCCATAGCACTGACTATCTGCACTCGTTCTTCCTCTGAGATGCCCAGGCCAGAGCAGGGAAGAATGCTTTTCAGAACTTCCATCTTTTTCTGCACAAACTGATCATCCTCCTGGGTGAACTTACATGTTCTCTCAAGGACCTTCCGGACACTGTAGACCTCCTCTGCTGTGCTACCTCTCAACTTCCCCTCTGCTATCTTGCAGCGGGACAGGAGATTCACCAGGTATGTGAGCCTCTGGATTTCACTTTGGAGGTCCTCCAATTCCTGGCTGGTGAAGCTCAAACGCTTCTTGGCTAGCCAGTCATGGACTTGATCTAGTCGACTCCTCACTCTCTCTTGTTCTAAGACGTGCACCTTTTTCAGAGAATCCAACAGGCCAGCCAAGCGGTCATAGAAGCTGATGTAATTCTCAACAAGGCCCAGGTCCTTCACAGACAGGTTTTTCTGGGCCAGCTTCTCCTTCAACATCAGAAAGTCTGCAGGAAGCAGCTGGTGGAGGAGGCTCTTGCTCTCCAGCAGGGTTTTAAGTCGTTCCTGGCTGGTTGCAATTTCCCCCGCTGAGCCCTGAATCTTCTCCTTGACTATTTCAATCTCTTCCAGCCGCCGTTTGATGCTGGTTCCATACCTCAGGTTTTTGCGGATGGGCACTTGGCAGATAGGGCACACCTTCAACTTGATGGCAACTTCATCATCCTTCTGCTCATTCATGTATAAGTCCAGGGCTTGCACCTCAAAGATGTGGCTGCAGTCTTCTAGCTGCACAAAGCGGGCATCAGGCTCATCCTCAAAGCCAAAGAAGATTTGGGTGACTTCTTCCTGGTGGCAGACACGGCACTTCTTGGGGCATGGTTCCCCACACAAACCAATGCAGGGGTGGCCACAAGCCAGCAGCTTAGTACAAGGCACGTAGCATGGGGGTCGGTCGCAGGGTTCAGAGCACAGTTTAGTGCACTGGTAGTGCTGGCAGCGCCAGACACAGGGTTCCACGCAGGGGCTGCACAGCTCCCCACACTTCTTCTTGCACTGGCTGTGGACACAGCGGTTCTGACAGGTCCGCTGGCAGGGTGGGCACTCGCCGATGCACGGCTCCTGGCACTTGTGTGAGCAGATGAGCAGGCGCTTGCAGGGCTGCTGACAGCGCTCATGAAAGCGCCCTTCAAAGCAGCTGTGGCAGGAGCCGGGACAAGGATGCCCGCAGTCCAAGATAGTGCCACACTTGGTGGTGCACTTGACTGGCAGGTCATACATAAGGTCTTCCACATTACCACACTTCACCTGCTGGCTGTGCCCACACTTGAGTTTCACGGTGACCATTACTGAACACAAGCGCACACAGTCTTCACCACAGGGGTGGCTGCACCTGTGCCCACATTTCAGAACCTTGGGGCAAGGTTCTTGGCAGCAAAAATCTGACTCAGGCATGGAACAAGGAACCATTTGTTCATGACCGCACCGAACAATGGTTTTGCGCACCTTCACCTGACAAGGCTGACACTCCTGGAAGCAAACAAGAGGGCACCGGTGCCCATCTTGGCAGATAACCTTCTGGCATGGCTTCATGCACTGGAACTCCTTGTGTGAGGAATCATAAGGGTGGCAGGCACGGGTACAGACATGTCCACAGCTCAGCCGGAACTCACAGGGTAGGCTGCAGCCTCCTTCGGGCACTTTTTGGAAATCAGAAGCTTTGGATACTAAAGTGTGGGTGTCAGGATGGTTCTGGCAGCACAGCTGGAGTGCGTGGCCTATTTGATTGTTCTCTCGAAGAGTATGGATGATCTTGCTCCACAAGGGCACCTTGGCTAGCATCTGCATGTTCCCGATGCAGTACATCCCCTTCTTGGCACGGGACAAGGCCACACAGATGCGGTTGGATATCTGGAGAAAACCCACCTTGCCCTCCTGGTTGCTCCGCACTAATGAAAGGAGGATGATGTCATTCTCTTCCCCTTGGTATTTGTCAACCACATGGACCTTGACTCCAGCAAATGTCTTGGCTGGCATGAGTTTGCGCAGGCAGAAGAGCTGCCCAGTGTAGGTGGTGAGGATGGTGATCTGGGAGGGGAGGTACTCCTGGCACAGGAAGTACTTGCACAGCTCTACCACAAAGCAAGCCTCATGCTGGTTCTGGTGGCTTTTGCCTTCTTGGATTTCCTGTTCAGGAAAGTTGTGTTCTACAAAGAAAAGGTTGGAAGAAACCCCCTAGAAAGGAAAAGAAATGGTATGTTAGAAGGCTCACGCATGCAATTCTTCTGATCTTCACATGTACTGGCCACTTACCCTGTTCCTGGGAGAGACTTTGCGAGGTTTTCTGTATACTTTGTACCATAGTTTTTAATTCTGGTGTCAGTAACTACGTGTTTTCTTTTGGGACCATGGTAGGTAGGAAAACGGATAAAGAATTTGTCTATTTTAGCTTCTAATATATTTGATATTAATATTTCAAACAGTCATCCACAATCTAACTATTACAGTTCAGGAAACAGGCAGCAGCTACGATGAAGATGTTGAGTGAGCAGCTAACTTACAAGCACTCCACTGTGCCAATCGCTTTACACACGTTACCTCACTCAAGACAATGCTTAAGTAGTGAGGCAGTACCCATTATTCTCTCTGTATGGAAGATCAGGACACTCAGAATTGGTATATAACTTGCTAACCACTTACACAGCTGCACAGCTGAGATTCAAAACCCACATCTATATCTCTCAACTTCTACACTATTTCTCCTCTTAGTAACGAGCTTTTTAAAAAGTTGGCTCTAGTCCCTTTGGAAAACCCTTTTCCATCATAAGGAAATACAGCCTCCGAGGTTGTTGACAGCATCACAGAAAGCTCAAATAGAGCAGACTCACCTTTATCCTCTCATATTTGAGAACAGAGGGATGATTCTCCAGATCCTGGTAAACGTAGGGGGTCAAAAGCCGGGCAATTTCAGGGCGCATGCGGTGCTGAAATAAGACATATATGTCATTAGAAAGGTGGCCAGAGAAGGGATGCCTGGCTGGCTCAGTTGGTAGAGTATGTTAGTCTTGATCTTAGGGTTGTGAGTTCAAGCCTCACATAGGGTGTGGAGCCTACTTACAAAAAGAAAGAAAGAAAGAGAGAGAGAGAGACAGGGAGGGAGGGAGGAAGGGAGAAAAACATGTACGAGAATAAATGGACAGTTTTCTAAAGACTAAGCTGCTGGTGTAAAATCTAGAAGTAATGTGAAAAGAATCAGGAGAAAAGAGCAGAATGTAAACAGCTCCTTCAGCCAAAACAAATTCAATATAGGCTGATCCTGTGGTATTTTAACACAGAAAAGAAGTCTGACAATCATTGAATTACTAAGCTAGTTTTATTTTTATGAGACCTTTCTTGCTGACAATTGGCAGGCTCACAGGAGATTTCTCCTGAACATCTGGTAGGTAATAACAGAGGTCCAACTTCTCACCTGGTAATTCAGACGAACGAAGGGAATGTTTACTTTCACCAGCCGTTCAAAGAGGGACACTTCAAGGTTGAAATTCTTGGCTAGATCATACACATTGGCGCTGGGACGCAGCTGAGAAAAGAAACATGTTTCAGGACTCTCTATTGACATATTTTATCCATCCAACCATATACTCACTCA